ATGCCTGTTTCGTCTGCTTCTGGAGTTCTGGTTACGTTTTAATTAAGCATTTATAATTTTCCTTTAATTGGTAGTTTATTCAAAAGCCATGGAATTTTAGGCCATCCCCCCTTCTAAACCAACGGCAGCATTCTATTGTATATTTTTTTTCTGTGGATTTTATTTAATTAAAAAAACACACACGCACACAATACTCTTTTATTTTTTTTCTTAACTTTTTTATATTATCTTCTTTTTATTTTTATTTTAATGTTTGGATAATGTTGTTTATTATTTTATTAATAATAACTCATGATCTGTTTGGCATGGAACGAGCGTGAAGAAATTAACGATACTTCTTTATCTCTTGAGTTGTTCTGTCGGATCGACCGTTCCATACCTTTGGTCTCTACTCGAACTGATGAAAAAATGGGGTAAGAAAATTTTGATACGATCTGCCCCTACTGGGAGGCATCTACATCATCACGATCACAAGGAGAGGTTCACCCCTCATGAGGATACTTTTTTTTTCTTATGCAAATTTACTTAATCAAATTGATTGGTAAATAACATATTTTACAATTGTCAGAATTTTGAATTTAAAACTTTAAAATCAAAACTACACTTAAAAATATACTATTTCATATTATAAAATAATTTCATTAAAATTTAAACAGGTAAAATAAAATATACTTTAGGTGATGCGACTAAAGTCCTATATTGACTAAATAAAAACATAAAAACATAATCATTAGTATATAAATAAAGACAATTATCTTGATAACCAAAAGCAAAATTATGAATTCATGAAACTAATAATTTGTTATTAAACACATATTCGAAAACACTAACCTACAATTTTTTTATTTTTTTAATATTTAGATTATTTCTATTTTCAAATTACCAATCTCACTACAGTAACTATTTTTAAAACATTATTATATTTTACTGTACTATTAAATTTATTTTCAAAATTTTGTTAAAAGGTTGTTGGCACAAGTGATTTGAACTGCCGAGAAAATTAAAATAATTTTAAGAGCGTATGATAAATATCAACTTAATTTGTAATTAATACTTTAATTAAAATATTTATTAGAGAAAAACACTTCCAAACATGGCTTTGGAAAAAATTACCGTCTCTGGTTAGAAAAGCGGAGCCAATCTCAAAAAATGCTCCTCCCTTTCTTGTGGGGACCTGATATATGAATTAATAAATATGTTGATTTCATGAATATTTTTTTTGTTCACTATAAATTGAACACGTGGCAGAACAAGTGTTGTTTCACATTTATTAATGTGGTAGATTTGTTTTTTACCCTTTTCAAAACATTTCCAGTACATTTTTGTATTTCAATAGTTTTTTGCTTTTTCTCTTTTTCAGATTTAAATAATATTTTGCAGTATATAGTTCCGACTTTCTTTTATTTTACTTTTTATATTTTTTAAAACATATATTTTAGTTCTTTACTTTTGGTTGATATTTGTAAGATTTTCACTCAAAATTTTACCATTATTTTAGCTTTAGCAATTGACCATTATATGTTTTCACCATTTAGAAACTAAGTAGATATTTAAGAGAAATTAAAGATAAAAAGAAAAATATGTTAGTTTGGGATGAACGTGACCAGTCAACTATAAACTTGACTGAGAAAATCATGTAAAAAAAAATACAAGTTTAGTAGGTTTTTTTTTTCTAAGTCATGTGTATTTAAAAATATATATTTTTTATTTTTTTCACGATTGCGTGTCCCTTTCTTAATTACACGTCATTTTGAGCTTCTTCCTCCCATAGTAGATCGATCTATAAAATAAAATAAAACAACCAACTCTTTAAACTATTTTTAAAAATTTATTACATACAAATTTTCAATATATACATATATGTATGTGTGCGTGTATATATATATAAAACATTTTTTAA